ACACTGTTTATTACATGATCAGGGCCTTATATAGCTGGCCTACATGTGTGCAATCATGGAGAGAATATCTTCTGGTGGCAGTGTAACTAACTCTGGAAGGTTCTGAGTGTAACTAACTCTGGAGGCTCTGTCGCGTGTCACACTACCCTTTCTGTCTTCTAGTGAAATGCTGATTGGTGGTGGTCTACTCCACTCCCATAGTTGGGTTCGGAGGGAGTGTTTGGGTTCCAACAGAGTCAGCCTCTGTGACTTTTTCAAAATGGACTCCTCATTCTAACTCTAAGGATCTGTATGAGAAAAATGCCAGAATCTTCTGAGAGAAAGAAAGGAGCAAACGACAAATTATGGAGTGTGTAATGACTAGGGTTATACACTGGCTACAAACGTTGGAACTATTCAAAATTTTCACATTTGATGATATTTGGAGGAATTGGCCTTTAGTGGCTTCTAGCTCAGTGCAGAAGGTTAAGGCAAGGCTTGGACACCTCCCATTGAAGGATTTCTGAAACTAAACTTAGATGGGAGTAGTCAAGGCAACCTAGGCCCAGCTGGAATAGGAGGGGTCATCAGAGACAAGGAAATTTAAGAGCACTCTTCTCAAAACCGGTGGGGAATGGAGACTCCTTAAAGGAAGAATGTACGCAGCCCTACAAGGCGTAAAGATTGCGAGTTAGGATTGGAAAATTTGGTGATAGAAGGGGACTCCAAGGTGGTGGTGGGTTGGCTAAAAAACCCAGGTTCAGTGTTTTGAGCTTACAGAAATGAAATGAAGAAATTCAAATGGATAACTCAGCAGATGGATGTAACTATACAATGGGTGGGGAGGGAGGCAAATGCTTTTGCTGATTCTCTAGCTAAACAGGGAGTAACTAGGGATCAGTTGTACTGGGGCCACTTGTAACCTGATGTTTCTGTATTAATGAGTGAGGCTGCACCTCACGCCTCATATTGGGATGCTTGTAAGAGACTCTTTATCATTTGTTTCTAATGAAATCAATTGAACTTTTATCTATAAAAAAAAAAGTGTTTATAGGAGAAAGCCATTGAATAATACTCCTTGACTAATTAAAATAGCTGAGAAAATTACCAAAGGTTAGAAAGATTAGATCATTTCTTCCTCTGTTATACCTTCAAATGGTACTGCTAATAGAGATACTTTGTTTAGGGAAGTATGTTAAAGGCTGGAGATGGTTGTAGAAATGGACAAGAATAGCAATGCATACTTCGTTTTCTCCTGCTAAAGATTTAAAGGTGGTCTCTCAGGAGTTCACTAGAAAGCTTCTCTCGTAAGTTGAAATGAAGAACTTGGCCTGTTGAGTGTTGACTTTGGTGATATACCAGTTTGAAATATAAAATGATGTGTATGGTAAGGTGAGGGAGGCCATGGGAATTGAGGTGGATTCTGGAATTGATTTGGTATTAATTTATCAAGTGCATAAGGTAGACAGGAAAGTGCATCTTAATAGTATGATTGATATAGAAGTTGAGGTGGGAAAGAAATTAGGGCTATTCTCCTTAGGAGGTGAGGAACACACTAGAGAAGTGTCAATGGAATTAGAAGAGAGAATAGAAATTGTTAAAACTGCTATAACAGGGTAAACCAAGTAGGTTAGAGAGAGTCTTTTTAAGGAGATGGAAAGGAGAAAGGGTGGAGTTTGATGAAGTGTACAGGGATGGTTTGAAGTTTTAATGACATTAAATTGTAGAAAACGAATGTTGGGTGGTGTTTTGATTTGTCTCGGAGAAAAGTTATGGTTGTGATGGAGTTTGAGGGCTAATTTGTGCTTTTGGTTGAGGAGTAGGTCTGTGGGTGGTTATCTTTTGTTGGTATTAGTATATTGGCAGGGGAGAATTAGGGATTTCTTCTTTACCTTTTTATAATTTTTGTAGGTTCTTATTGTGTGGTTATTTGTTCATGTTACCTTTTCCATTTCTTCTTAATTCATTTTCTTTTTATTATAAGGAAATGGTGTACATGACAAGGAATTTATATTTCTGAAAGTTTGAGAACTTTCTTATCATATAGTTGGGACAAGGCTTGGATGATGATGATGAATACTTTCTTATAAGGATTAAGCAATCAACTTCATGCTCTATCTGAAATTAGATTTGCTTCCTTTTTGTGTTATATGTTCTCTTGATAAACTTTGTACTATGTTAACTACTCTAAATTTTAGTTTTTCCATTCCTATCTGTTTGCAGTTTTGATGCCGTTATTCATTTTGCTGGATTGAAAGCCGTTGGTGAAAGTGTGCAGAAACCTCTTCTTTATTATAATAACAACCTTATTGGCACAATAAATCTCTTAGAAGTCATGGCTGCCCATGGGTGTAGAAAGGTACTCTCTCTCTCTCTCTCTCTCTCTCTTAAGTATGAGAGATTTGAGAAGTTCAGCTAGGACTTATCCTAACTATCAAATCAATATTCAATCCTTAATAAATAATGCCTGGTTTTTAGAAGAAAGAAAATAGAATAAAAAAAGGTAAAGTGGGACTATCTCAGCTGTGAATTTTCTGAGCAGAATCCAAAGACACCATTTCTGCACCTGGCATCTCCTAGCCATAGGTTATGGCAGTCTGATGTTCGAGAAGAATGATTTCTGTGAAATTGGATTTTAAGGAAATAATTGTCATGATATTGAGTTTAAATCTTGCTACACATGTAATGTACATTTGTCTTTGTACTGATATTCAATTTCATGAAATACAGCTTGTTTTTTCTTCATCAGCTACTGTTTATGGATGGCCAAAAGAGGTGCCATGTACAGAAGAGTTTCCCCTATGTGCAGTGAACCCATATGGACGAACCAAGGTATTTTTTGCAACAACTCATTTCCCAATTGTCTTTTTATCCATTCAATTGTGTCCAGTGCTTTCAGAGGCATTTTGATGTAGTCAAGCCCGCAAGCTATAAAGCCTTCATATACAGGCCCAAATGCAAAGGTCCTTGCTAACTTGGTTTGTGAATCAGGCCACTGATTTCATAATAGCTGACCTTAGCCTCTTAAAAATAATCTGGAAAACGAATATTATAAGGAATCATTTTATAGATGTTTTGCCTTCAAGCTAGGGTTTTGCCCCAAAACATTATCTACTCATACTCATTTTTGGAATTAATAAGTGCTTGCCAAATTCTGCTCCACAAAGGACTCCAATATTCAATCCTGGGTTTGGTTCAATATCATTTCCGAGGTGTTTTTGGGTAGTGCCATTGTATCCATTATTTTTCCTTATTTCTCTAGTTTTATCCTTTATTGTTCTCTGCTATTTGTTTTTCCGTCTTGGTGAAACCACCATTAAAGCTTATTTAGATTGAAAGTTTAGCAACATGAGGAGTGAATGCCTTGAAATTCATGTCCGTGTTGGGACCTTGCCTGAGGTTCTGTGCCAGCATCACATTCAAATCCTAAACCTTGAGTCTGGAAGGCACAAGCTTGAAGAATCAGATGCTGATGATGTGTGAAATGATCATATCAAATGGCTTTAAATGAACAGGAATTCAGAAAAGTTAAAATTTGATAAATTTTCATTTTTCTCAAACTCAACCAGGATTGATGTTTGTTCAACTTATATTCTCAAGGAACACACAAATTTGGCATTATTGAAATAGATGAACAAGGAAAAATATAATTTTATTGTGTCTTTATGCATAAGAGAAAGGGTTTGCAGTTTGTTGGCGGGATTTATTGTTTCACTATTTGGGCAAATTTATTGTCTTAACTGATATCACTCATTGTTGTTTCGTATACTTGGATAGTGCCTTCCCTATGCAGCTATTCTTTTCTATCTTTTCCTTACAAACATTTTCTGTACCTTGTTTTTGAACTTTGAACTTGATATCTTCCACTTATTATAACAAATCTGATGATTTTGATTCTTGCAGCTGTTCATTGAGGAGATTTGCCGTGACATCTACCGGTCTGACTCTGAGTGGAGCATTATATTGCTCAGATATTTCAATCCAGTTGGAGCTCATTCTAGTGGCTATATTGGTGAGGATCCACGTGGAATTCCAAACAATCTTATGCCTTTTGTACAGCAAGTTGCTGTAGGCAGGCGACCAGCACTAACAGTATTTGGAAATGACTACAAAACCAAGGATGGCACTGGGGTATGCTTTTTGTATTCAACATTTTGTTTTTTGGTTTATATATTCTTGTTTAATTGAATTTTACCAAAAATTAGTCTTCAAATGTGTAAGAACTGTTTCCTATGATCATCTCTTGCTACTTTGAAATTTTTTTCTGTTCCCTGGCAGCCATGTTTAGAAACCAAGATAGCAATCAATAATTACTTTTAAATTTGTTTCTTTTTATTAGTTTTTTACTTTCAGTAGAAAGTATGTCATGTTGATATTCTTGTTTCCTTCCAGGTTCGTGATTATATTCATGTTGTTGACTTGGCTGATGGGCACATTGCTGCATTGCGCAAGTTATTTGACTGTAAATTAGGTGTGCTAATAATGACCTTTGTGCTTTCTTGATATTTCTTTTATATGGATGAATAATTCCTTATTGTTACATTAGTTAAACTCGTTTCATGGCCTCCATTTTACTGTAGTAAGAATTGAAACAAGAAAAAGAGAAACAAAATATGGTATAAATGTAATTATGTATTGTAAATTAGGCTTAAGAGGTAGTTTCATGAATAATTGCCATGGATGTGAGCCCTTCAAGGAATTCTGGAATGCAATACTTTTTTATTTTATCAGTAACAAGAAGCTTTATTAAATAATAAAATTTGTGGAACTTAAAGTACAAGAAAGGGGAGGTAAACTATATTAACTCCTCCACATCAAGGAACAAAGAAGAAAGCTAAAAATTAGCCCAAAACATAGATTCCTTAAGCGCCCCTTGCTTGGCTAACCCATCAGCCATTGAGTTAGTGCTTCTCTTCACCCAAGTGTCCTTCACCTCAATATCCCTACTCAGCCATTTAAATTTTTTTCTTTTCATTTTTGTAGCTCCACAAACCATTGTTGTCTTCCTTCAGCCACCTAATCACCACTTTCGAGTCCCCTTCAATGACCAAGCATCGAATGTTTAATTCTCTTGCTCTTTGGATTCCTTCCAGAACTGTTAGAATCTCAGCCCTAAGAGAGTCACCCTCTCCAATTGGGCCTGAGAAAATAGCATTAATAATCTCAACCTCATTCCTGAACACTCCCCCAATCCCACAAGTCATTTGTGTTTATTCTTAACATGAAAGTTTACCAACAAAAACTACCAACCCGAGGAGGAATGGGTTTGCTCCAAATCTCTTTAACAGGGAAGGACAACCCAAAGGGAGTAGGAGGTTGGACCAAAGTCTCAAAAAGCAACGCACAAGTAAAGGAACCAAAGGAGGAGGGGGTCCAAATTCTAGAGTCATCCTTACTCGGGTCCAGTAAAACATTTTCAATGATGTCTAGCAAAGACAAAATATAACCCATGTTTGTATCCCTGATTGTTCTTCTCAACCCTAGATTCCACCCAAAGCCGGAATTAGATTCAGAAGGAACTAAGAAAGAAGAAATGGGTTCATTTTTCAAATTTGACAAAGCATACGAGGGAAATTGGTCCATCAGGGATGAATCCCCAACCCCAGGCTGCTCCCAAAATTTTATAAGATTACCTGAGTTCAAATCATACCTTATCCAAGGGGAGAAAACCAAAAGCACATCATGAGTGGCTTTCCAAGGGGAAGCAGCTATAGCCCTTGCCAAGATTCTTGGATCCCGGCCATTGTCTTCCAGCCCATGTATGCTAGCCACAATCTTCGTCCATAATTTGTCCCTTTACATTGGAAACCTCCACAACTATTTCCCCAACAATGCCATATTTCTTTTCCTAATATTACCAATCCCAAGCCATCCTAGCTTCTTCTAGTTATCACCTCCCAATTCACCCTGTTATCTTTCTTCTCCTCTCCTGGTTCCCACAAGAAATCCCTCATTAACTTTTCCACCCTATTTGAGACCTTTGTGGGAATCTTAAACACCAACAAAAAGTAAACAGGAAGGTTAGCTAGGGTAGACCTAATCAAAGTGATTCTCCCCCCTAATGAGAGAGAAATTTTCCTCCAGGAAGCAAGCCTTTTCTCAAATCTGAGATTAACCTAGCCTTGTGATGAGAGAAGTATAGAAAGATACAATTACACTTAACTGTCTTTGTAGAAAGAATTCATATTAAACTTAGCCCAACTATGACCTAAAAAATTACAAATCATCTTGTCATTTTATTCGTGATAACTGAAACCTTTTAAAATTGAGGTTCCAACAGAGATGATGGCAGGATGCTGGAGTGTCCCAATTCCCAAAGGCTAGGAGTCTACATAGCCCTGCAAATATGTTTCTTCCAATTTAAACCCTTTAAACCAAACTACAACCCACTCAGTATCCCTTGTTCATACTTGGTTGACCACTGGAAATCATCTCACTAGATCCCTACATTACTGAAATCATTTTCTTCCTTTTTTCAGTTTTATCTGCTGGTTATCTTGTCTATTATCACCATAAATGGTTAGTTGAGGCATAGCTTTATCATCCCTTTGTGGTTTTTTTTTTTGGATCAATCATCCCCTTATACTTTGTGCATAGGTATAGTATATATAAAATCTTGATCATTTTGCACTTCATGTTAAGTTTTTAAAGCAAATAGCCCTACTAAGTTATTATGATTTAGGATTATTAGAATATATATAGATACAAACAACTATTGCATTTTGCCTTGGGTCTTCCATACATATCCAACTATTCTTTTTGCCACCTGAAGCTTACGGGTGGTTTGGAACAAAAAACGACAACTTCCAAAACAGAAAAGATTGGATTTATTAAAGAAGATTTTGTGGTGGATTGTAAATCTCTGTAAATGTATCAATTAAAAGAGACTAGAGTACCTAGTTAGAAATCTAACTACTTCACAGCAGCTCTTACATGTCAAGTGCTAAACCTCTCATGTATCTTCTTTTTTTTTTCCGGATCAATAACTGTGAAATTTCATTAAAATGAAGCAATAAGGAATTAGTAAAATTAATAATTACAACCAAAGAGAGATAAACTCTCCTATTTCTCCCCAAATAACACCACTAATTTTACAATTGTGCCCAAAGTAATTCCCTATTATCTCATGTATCTTCTAAAAATACTAGAAAATGGGAAGCAAGATATAATGCTGCTTCTTTTGCCACAAAATAATTCCTAAAACATGCAATACTTGTGGCTTTATCAATTACTTAGAAATCCTATCACATACAAAAGTTGCCATTTAATTTTATATTCCGTCTTGTTAATTAAGATCATTATTCCTGAAGTTAATTAATCTTATATTTGATGCTATACTTTCATTAAATTGTGATTCAAGTTGAATCAATATCTTGTATGAGCTCCCTATTAGTTGGTGGCTTGTATCAAAAATGATTCTGATCAATTTTTGATTTTGCATCTGCAGGCTGTGAAGTGTACAACTTAGGAACTGGAAAAGGAACCTCAGTCCTGGAAATGGTTGCTGCATTTGAGAAGGCTTCTGGAAAGGTAACTTCAAAAAGAAAGAAACTCCAAGTTTTTAATAACTCTGCCAGTTCTTGGTGGGATCTGCATTTTCTGAGATCACATCTGTTAGCTTAAAATATATATTAGTGATGTTGGATAAACATTTTGAAATAGAAAATTACATTATGTTCCAATTAATTAGTTTGGAATCTCTGTTTAGGGGCGAAAATAAAATAAAATAACTTGTGGATTTAATGGGCCTGCTGGATTGGGTGGGTACATGTCCGAGGCCCTCCTTTTGTCATGCTATACTGCTGTGTTTTGTGTGATGCTGTACATTTCTCCCTCCTTGTTTGACTAACTTTACCCGTAGATGAATAAATTCCTGTCATGGAGATGACTTGAGTTTCTTTCTCCTTGGTTTCTAATGAAAGATTTTTTTCTTGTCTCAGAAAATCCCTCTGGTTATGGCTGGGCGGCGACCTGGTGATGCTGAGATTGTTTATGCGTCAACTGAAAAAGCAGAGCGTGAACTTAACTGGAAGTAAGTGACCTAACATTCAGATAAACAATTTCCAATAAAAAAAAAACAAATGTTCAGATAAACAAAATTGTCTTGACTTGTGAAAAAACTGCAAAATACTGACATTGTAGATTTGAGGAACAGTTTATATTCAATTGTTCTGAGTTTAAGTGATTCACAATCATCCTGAAGATTGTTGGACCTTTGATTGGATATTGCTAATTGTGGGGTCTATTTGATGGGGCATAGGCACACAGCCCCCTAATCAAGCTCTACAGTGAATCATATCCTATGAAAGGGTGAAAATTGGTGTGCTAAAGAAAAATGAATGGTTTATCAAAAATAAAGAAGCAAAATAAATGAGGAAAATACGTGCACTAGGCAGTTTAGTTTATGTAACTCTGGCTTTTCGGGGCAATGTTACATCAGGTCACACCCATTGGTTGAACAGTCCAGATTGGTTTTGCTGGGGCACATGTACATGTTCCTTGTTCTTGTAGTTGGGGTTTGCGGACTTCAGGATGATATATTTCCTATTCCATATACATGCAGATGTTTATTTCAGTGGAACATTTTTTCTTCCCGTTTCTGTATTCTAATTTTGATTAACCAATTGCCTTGCAGAGCAAAATATGGGATTGAAGAGATGTGTAGGGATCAATGGAACTGGGCGAGCAAGAATCCTTATGGCTATGGTTCACCTGATTCCACTAGTTGATCATAAAAGGGTATAATCTAGTTTCTTTTAATCTAGATCTTGTCCATATCCTGCTCTTTTCTATGCTCCTTTATTTGTGATTTTATAAGGAATGATATTACAGATGACCTCTGTTCCAGTGTGTGGTGGGAGTGAATGAATTTATCCACCCTCTTGTGTGCACCAAAGAGAGTTTGTAATGCAGAACTTTGAGGCTTTTCCTGAATGGCCTCTGTTCCAGTGATGGTGGGAGTAAATGAGCTTACCCACACTGACATTATTATACGAGTTAAATGTTATGTGAAGGTTCATGAGATTTAGATATCATGAAAACTGTCAGTGGTTAACATTGGAACCAATACGACACATAGAAGGCATAAAATTTAAGTAACAAGGTTTTAACGATTTATGCCTAACTGTGTAATTCGTCAATTCGACAATATAACGGTATAACCACAAAAAGTTTCTACAGTATAACCCCAAGGCTTATGTTGGGTTTTGATAGAGATTAAGAGAGAAATGGAAAGTTGGGGGAAATTCTCAAGGAAAGTTGTAAAATTCCCCAGGAACATTCCCGCAACTTCTTCTTCCTAGCCCCCCCCCCCCNAAAAAAAAAAAAGAGAAAAATCTGAAATTCATTTTCTAGCAAACCAAAAACAGCCTTAAATTCCAACTAATTTTATCACCAAAAATACTCCTATTTGGCTATATAGACGACCTACGGTTGTCAAGTTCGATAAAGTCTGGCCCTCCTGTGCCAGGGGTTCTGCTGACTTCTGCATCCAAACCCGGAAACTGGTAGTTAGAATGATTCTGTTTCCGGGTCAAAGAACAGGTTCATGATTTGAATACGCATTAGTTCCTTTTTTATGTTTTTCAGATATCATGACAATAGTGTAGGTAAATTGTAGGTTATCGTGTTCGGGTTATTTAACATCTTCTCAAATTTAGTGGAGTGCATTTGGACCATCACAGGCACGCATGTGCCAAGTCATGTTGGGCTGGGTTGGCGCGTACGTTCAGGGTCCTTGTCTTACTTTTATTTATTTTCTTTTTTCTTTTAAAGCTTTAACATTTTAACCAAGTATCTATTTTCCTAACATCTCGTGTAACCGCTCCACTCTCCTACCAATGTTAGTGGGAGATGTTGCTGTTTTTAAGTGCACCGAAAGTTGTCTGAGGTTGGTTTTTGCTCTTTCCTACTATTGGTTTTTTCCCTCTCTTTGTTAAACATATTGGGCATACATAATAATCTGGTTCGCTGCTTTGGGCTATGAGTTCATATAACAGCAAGATTAAGAGTTGTTATAACCTGGAGGCCAATCGTCGGAATCCTACTGCATCAAGGGAAATATTTTGAGAGGCGATGAAATCGGTTTTATGGAAAACGGAAACTTGCTACAATTCAACTATACTGATATTTTTCATCAGTTCTTTATCAGATTACTACTTTAATTTTCTACAATACGGATTTGTTAGATTTATGGTTTCGTTGCTGTTACAATCATATTATTACATATTTTTCCAATACTTCATTGTCATGCAATTTTCCTTGTTGGATCAGCAACATAATGCTCACCGCATCGTTTTGCAATTTGTAAGACTAACAGTCCCTACAAAGCAGTTTTACAAAGAACATCTAAGCGCTAGGTGGGGTAAACTCAGAAATACCTGACCTGACAGTTTAAATGAATAAATCCAGAGGGTGTCCACAACCCATCATTGAGACTGACCATTTCCCTTTTTCCCTCGAAAATATGTTTCATTGAATAATGGTGCAAAAAGCACTTAAAACAGTTGTTTAGGCATTTCAATGGTGCCGGAAAAGTATGATATCGGAAGAACTTGGACGAATCAGAGCCACCACCCCCTGTTGAATTTTGATGAAATAGTAATACCAGCTAGTTGGCTCCTACTTTTATGATGCAAGTTGATTGGTAATAAGTTTCATAAGGTATCATGCTTTTCCGGCATATTGCTAATTGTCATATTAAACTTAGTTGTCATCCCAGAAATTAAAATGTACAGTATACACAAAATCCCACAATGATTACCTAAAAAATAAACCAGAAAAGCAATTTGAATTTGGGGGTTGTGATGGGGGGTTGAACAAAACATTCCCCCAACTGAAAATGCACTAGCTAAACCAAAAGTTGATTTTTCTCAAGCAAAAACTCATGTTTCTTTTGCTACAATGGCTTCCAATTTACGCAACCAACTCACATATTGACCCTGTTCCTTCTTATGCAGGTGGGAGAGAAGGAAGGTTGTCAAATCTTCCCCAATTCCCCTTGAGATCAGATAGTTCTTTAATGATTCCTGTAAGTTGGGGTCCAAAGAGCTGCATGGATACGTATAATGCAGAATTAGAATGCTTTGTCATTACAATCTAGAGAAAAATCTTACGCATAATACAACTTGAATCAAAACTTTGGTCAAATTTATATCTACATGACGGACATGAGGGAACAACAGTCTTTACCAATAAAAAAGGGAACAACAGTATCAGCATTCCTTAAAAGACTGAAGTTGGGAGGTTGTTCGAACTCTATGTAGATCTAAAATTGCAGAAAATGATATATTGGCATTTTATGATTTCAAGAGTATTTTCAGACCCATATCATATGTAAAATCAGAAAGTTTCACTGGATTAAGCAGTGATTAATTGTTCAACCCATTATTTTTTTTTGATGAATTTGTTCAACCCATTATTAGAAAAAGGAAAAAACAACCTATAAGGCTCAATGGTTCAACAACCCAATCTGATCCATGTTTGACAGCTGTTTCCAAATAAAGATAAATAAATAGCTTCGAAATGCAGAATTCTCCTACCATAGAAAACAGGTTTTTGATTTTCAACTAAAGTGAGAAGGAAGGAAGAAGGAAAGACTTAGATCCTTTGCTTCACATCTTGGAAAGAGTATTTTTGGATCCCTCTTATCTAGATAGACAAATTTGGACCTTTTCTTCTTTTGGCCTGTATATCTGTGCTTCTTTCTTTAGGCCCTTAACTTACCCCATTGAAAGTGTTGGGCAACCTTTTCTAGTTAAGGGGGTTTGGAGCAAACCCATTCCTCCCAGGGTTGGATGTTTTCGCTAGGAAGCTTTTATAAAGAGAGTCAACACCTTTGATTAACTCCAAAGAAAAGGACCAAATCAGTGTATTTTCCTCAATTGGTATTTTCTGTGTAAATCTAATGGTGAGACTTGTTATCACTTATTAATCTCTTGTCCATTTGTAAGTTTTATTTGGTATTGGTTTCTCCCTCTGTTTGGGTGCAAGTGGACTTCTCCACCGAATGCACAAAGCCTGTTCACCTCTACATTTTCTACTCGGTTAAAGAGGAGAATAATTCTATGGAAGAGCACAAGAGTTGTTCATTGGACAGTTTGGGAAGAGAGAAATTCGAGGATTTTTGCAGAAAAGGAAAGAAGCTATACTGAAATCATTGAAGTCATCATAACCAGATGAAGGGAATCATTGTCCTACAGGCATTGGAGTAGTATTCAAGAATGAAGAGGGCAAAATACTAGCTTTCTTTTCAGGTCCAATTGATATAGGTGATTCACTGAAAGCTGAGGACTTGGCAGTTTTGCAAGGAGTGCAAAGAGCAAAGGAGTTGAACAATAGAAAGTTGATTGTTGGAGGTGACTCAAAGCTGGTAGTAGGTTGGTTGCAAAAGAAGGAAACTGGATTTGGCGCTACCTTAATGAAAGGAAGAAGTTTAAGTGGTTGACACAAAATATGGAAATAAAACTGCAATGGGTTACTTGATTAAAAAAACTGCCATGGGTTAAGAGGAATACTAATTCTTTTGCTGCTGCACTAGCAATGCAATGGATGGGAAAAGATCAAATGTTTGGGATTTATCGTAATCCTTTTATATTGTCATGGGGATAGTTAAGAGAGCTTATCTCTCCCCTGTTCTACTTGTTCTTTGTTTTTAATATTTATAAAATGCTGCAGTGGACACTTGGATACTTAACAAAGAAACACCGAATTGGTTCTTATCCTCCAACTGGTGTTTTTTATGTAAGTTGCATGGTGAGACTGCTTTCCTTAATCTCTTGTCCTTTTGTTGCTGTATTTGGGAGTGGTTCTTTTCTCTTTTTGGTTTTAAGTGGAATCCTTCAGCAAGCTTGGAAAGATTGTTTAACCCTTCTGTGTTGAGTTGCAAATCTAAGAGAGGCATGATTTTATGGAGGTGCACTTGGGCAGCAGTGATTTGGACAGTATGGGAAGAAAGAAATTCAAGAATTTTTGAGGATAAGGAGAGGAGAAAGGAGGTATTGTTAGAAATCATAATACTAAAAGTAGCTTTTTGGGTGAAGAGTCTGAAGTAGTTTTCCGACTTTACGAAGGGTAACCTAACAGTTGGCATACATTTTTTTTTGCAAGTTTGACTAAAACCTAATGTGATTATGTCATGTGCAAATTATTGAATTTGAGGCAATCTACTTGTTAGGTTTTATTGGTAAACACACACATGAATGCTTGCCCTTCGTAAATGTTTCACTCAAGGATTGAAATATCGATACGATACGGCCAATACAGGGCATATTGTATCGGTATCGTTAGTGTTCAGCACAGGATACGCTACCATTGGAGATGTATCTTGCCAGTCGTGCGTATCGGGCCGATGCAGGTGTGTATCAGTTCGTATCACACTGTATCGGCCGATACATATCAATACGGACCAATATAGAATGATACACTACTCACGATACGCAAATGTGCATACTCTTCTAAAAAAAGAAAGTTTGAAGGATTCGAACTCGCATCAATTGCTAGGGAGAGCTTAACATCCGCGCCTATAGGCCACTACGCCACTCCATCTTTTGTGTTTATAAGTAAATGAATATAACTTTTATTTCTTTATTACTTAAATGCAATTCAAATAAATAATACATATTACAGTTAACTCCAACTAAAAATAAAAAAATAATATTTAAATCAGTATTTTATAAAATAATAGAAATAAATAATATATCAAATCCACATTTATACCAAAATATTATTTGGATCTCAAAAAATTTATAAAATTACAACATTAATAAGGGAATAATTATTTGAATACTTAAAATTTATAAATTTGCACATATATATAATTTACATTACATAAAATCATATTTATTATTTAGAAAATAAAGAAATTGTTTACAAAATATTCAAGAATATAATCTTAAATTGAATCTATCAAATCTACTAATTTACATTTGTACCAAAAAAAAGAGTTTTAATTAGAAAATTATAGGAATAAAAATATAATAATAGAATAATCATTTAAAAGTCAAAAATTATGAATTTTCATATGATATGTATCTTAGAAATTTTAATAGATTTGATATATTTTAAGTTGAGATTATACATTTTATAAATTATTAAAGGATATTTTAATTTACATAAAGAATTTAATATTTGATTGACCCCTTTGTTAATGTAAAAAAGTAAAATAGTAAAACTGAAAATAATTGATATAATAATTAAAATATAATAGGAAAATATGTTTTGCATTTTGGACTCTTGATTRATAMATTATCAATAAAATTRTATGATATCTATGCATCATATTATATTAATTGTAATATATTTTTTTTCATATACACCATTAAAATATACATTTTCTATGTATTTATACATTATTTATGATTATTTGACCTTAAATTTAATATTATTAATGTATTATGAAATTTTTATGTGTTACCCTAGCATATCCATATTTTTTCATCAATATCCATGCGTTTCCAAAGTGTCTCCGTATCCAAGTCCAATACGATACCCAATACCGATACTTTAATCCTTGGTTTCACTCTATGTTCAGAGGATGTGACCAGATTTCAAGGCTTAAGGTACAAGGCAATCTACTTGTTAGGTGATCATCAGACATATAGATGCACTAGAATCACCAACTATTACCCAATAATGGATCCGCATACCCTTCTTTGATCCTCAACCCTTTTTTCTTTGAAAAAAAAAGGCAAGGTAATTTTATTCATCAAGTATTAATTACACAACAAAAGCCTGCTGGGTATAACCAGCACAGGAAACACCCAAGCAACTATACAACCATCAAATATTCCATAGATATACGTCTTTCAATAACCAACCCATGGATTGGACATGAAACTCCTTGGAGACTAAAACCCAAGACACAATTTTACCCACAGATAGACTGAATGGCTCGTCCTCAGTTCTGCTTTTATTACAGAAAAGCCTTCTACTTTTCTTGGACCACAAGATCCAAAAAATAGCAGATGGAACCAACTTCCAGATCCGTGTGCTCTTCCCACTCAAGCCTTGAAGAGGCAACAGGCAAGGGAAGCAGCACCTCACCAAAAGCTCTAGGCATCACTCAATTCAGACTAGCTGCCTTCGGAAAATGCAGCCATAGGCCCTAAGCCACCTGGCAGTGGACAAACAAATAATCTGCACTCTCCAATAATAGTCCACACAGCCACACAAACTATTTTGAATCTGCAGGCCAGACTATCCCTGGTTAGACACCTACCACTTACAGCAGACCACAATAGGACCTCCATATTAACTTGCATGGGAACATGGTGTCCCTTGGGGTCCCTTGGGGTCCCTTGGGGTTCTTAGGCTTGTCTAATCTAATAGGATCTAACAGCAAACAACCAAGTGCTCTCCCATTTTCCATCTTAATTCATTATTCTTCCCAGGCCTTGCATTTTGAACTCTCAACAGTTGCTATAGTACTAGTACACCCTGCATTTCCCAGTCCTGAAAATTTCTTTGGGAGAGACTTTTAGTGGTCGAAGCAAAGGAGAGAGTAGAGAACTGACGTTCAGTGGGTGAGACTATTAGTTCTGTGTGGAAACTGAATGGTTTGCTAATGTTAACCCCTTTTGATGAAAGCAGAGCGGTGCTTGATATTCTGGAAGAGGAAGTGGACATTGTAGCATACTCCTTATAGACGAAGGAAGGTCAGATTTTAATTTCAAGATGGTGCCCAAGCTCAAACTTGAAGGTTCTGAATTTTTTCATGTGTTACAGTAAGAAGTCGGGGCTTGCCTTCTCGCTTGTGGCAGCGATCAACTTTTGAATTCATTTGCTTCTGCCTGTGGAGGCACCATTGGAGATTTTTTCCGTCGGTGATTTGTTTTCAGTGGGGTGAGATTGAAAGGAGTGAAACCAGAATCAATTCCCAGGAAGATTGATGTGTTTTCTGATGGTTTAATCCATCGTGTCTGGCTTGCAACTTCATGTGAAGCAGTTTTGTGGAAAGGATGCAGATTGGAACATGAACAGTTTGAAGAAGAGGACCTACGTGGCATGAATGCATTGGTTGGTTCAAATTGCTTCAGGAGTTTTTGAAAAAT